AGGGAATCATTCTCTGCTTTGAGATTGAGGATCTTCGATATCCTATACGAGCTTAGGTGATTATGGAAATTCAGGATGTAACTGGTAGAGACTCTTGAGTCAAGGGGTGGGTAATCCGAAGGATGTGGTGTGATATACATGTGTAGATTCATTGATGTTAGGTCATGAGTGGGTATCAAATCGATTTTGGGTAAGATCTCAACTAGGGTATCGAACATGTTTAGTGCATGATTCTTTGTTCCAGCAAAAATATAGATGGAGATGTTTACACACTGAGGGCACAATCGCCTGCTTCAAGAGTAATGAATGGGCTTAGTTGATGGTGGTTTGAGTTATTGTGATGTGTCTTGGGTTGGTTTCATATGTGAAAGATCCATATCGTGTCTGAAGTGCGGAGAAGATGGGTTGCTGAAGACTATGTAGGAGGTGAGGCTGCAATGGGTCGTGTAGCGTTCATTATGTTAGCAGAAGTTCGATGGCAGGGCGTGGAAGCAAGTCCGACTAATTGGTTTTCTTTTCAGGAGATGCGTAGGACTGTTGTTTGTGTGTGTCTTTTGGTTTAGCAATCGGTGAGCTGTCCGGTGTTTCGGGTAATGGACAGACAAGTTGGGACCAGGGAGGTTTCAACTTCGTTTGAGAAACTGTTGGATTAGATATCTAAGCCCATAAGTATTATTGGTATGTACTTGACGAGAGAGTAGCATGGTCCATTTGGGGTGCATAACACAAGGACAATTTGTCAGGATGGACTCTTGAGAGAAGGTTTTATATGATTTATTAATATATTATAAGTTCTAATATATTAATATGAAATCATATGTTTTAATTAGTATTGATTGAGAATTAATTTGAAATTAATTTAGTGATCAAAAGAGACTAATTAAATATATGGGGACTAATTGTGTTAATTAGTTATATTTATATGTTTTAGGATTATGATCCATGTTGGACCAATTTTATGTATGGATACATAAAGAGTTGGGCCACATGAACCATGGATCCTAAAACCCATGGGTATGGATTTGGGTTAAACCCACGACCCTTGGAATCCACCATATAAATATGTTGCTTCATAACCAAAAACGTGTGCTTCTTTTCTTAGAGAAATATGGAGGTGTTTTGGTGCATGGAATTCTCTCTCAAGAGTCACCTTTATCCTAGATAAGTTATGGTTCCATTTGAGATGCAACACTTGGGGAACTAAGCTGTTAAGGCCAAATACATCAAGACTTCAAGTTGCACAAAAGTTATGTTACCCTAACTAGTATCTTGTATGGTATATTAAAATTTCTTGCTAGTTATAGGCTTAATACCTTGGAAACATCATTGCATGTATAATTAGTGAAAACATAGATCTAAGGTATTTAGGGTTGTATGTGCACCATAGGATGCTGTAGTATACTAAACCCATCAGTGGTATCAGATCCTAGGCTTGGTTTTCAATTATACTTGATGCAATGTTGTAAAAATCGATTTTCTGGCTTTCTGGACTGTGGACTCGCCGAGTCCAAGAGTAAAATCATCCTACTCGTCGAGTAGGTTCATACACTGGGCGAGTAGGGGCCCTGAGTGCAGATTTTCGACTTTTAAGGCTGGAAATGGACTAGAATCATTACCCTAAGCTGTTTTTGAACTTATAAACCTGTTTTTAATGTGGTAATGACCATTCTAATCCAATTCAAAAGATTATTGTCAAAAGTTTCATGTTTTGTCTTAGTTTGATGGTTAGGCTAATTACATGAAAATTGTTTGATTTGAATTGTCTTGTTCATATGAGTTTAATCTGGATCATAATGTAGACTTAACCAATCTTTACCGGTGATGACATCCAAGCTCTTTATAGTGATCGACATTAGATCAATTTGAAATGAATGCTCGTTTAGAGTGAGTGTGCAGCATATGTACATATCGTTTGTGCTTTCTGTTCTACCGTTTGCCATTTCTATTGTAAATATCTTATTGAGTGATTGAGGGTTTTGTTTTAGTATGTGTTTCAATTTATGACTCACGAAACTCCTCTTTGCACCACAATCAAAGAGTATGCATGCATAATCGTTACAGAGGAGAAACGTACCCGTAACCACTATGGGATCAACTATTGCTTCGTTCTACCCTATTGCCAGCACTCTTCCTATACCGCCAGCATTACTTGCCTTAGGGCAGTCTCTCTTGTAGTGTCCAGCCTCACCACACCCATAACACGCCTGGCCCACACCGACTCCACGGGTGATTGGTCATGTCGGTGCCTTATAGAAACGGACAGTGTGCCCTTTCTTGTTGCAGTTGTTGCAGTGCATCTCCCGAGTAGATTTGTAAGAGTAGAGTAACATTTAAGCTGGTGAGTTCATAAGTATTTAATGTTAATGTTCGTATAAATTTGTATGAAATTTTTTGTAGATGTTTGAAGACACCTAGAAAATCCCATATTTCCTACTAGTATAAAAGTAGTCTTCGACCAAGACTTGACTGTTTTGAATGTTTGTTCCTAGAAATCCAATATTTTTCCATAAGTGTGTGGTAGTTTAAAAGTTCCAAAAACTGTAATGCAATAGTGTTTTTCATGCCTAGAATAGTAGATTTATGTGTGTATAAAATCACTAAGGCATTTCATAACCCCGTAAACCAATGTGTTTTTAATACTCCATGTGAGTTTTATAACCATTCTATTGACCCAATCTTCATGTAACAACGTTCTTCAGGCATTGAAACGTTATGACGTTTGTCACCCCAGACCTGCCGGTCTAACTGTAGCTAAAAGTTTAGGTGCGGGATTATCAATCCCATATAGATCTATACACAAGTATCACGCTCCCCCTACAAGAGATTATGGTATATAATACAGGACTTTAACTGCATACTTGAAAGTACGTGAAGTTGAATGTCTCAGAAAAGTTAGTATCAAATAGATTTACGTATGAAAAGTCCAATTATTCTTGTATATGAAAGTATTTCCTTGATGTAGTACTTATAGTATGTAAAATCTCATGAATATCTAGTAAACTATACTTATTATAGTTTTTCCAAATGTGTGATTCGTTTGTATGATAAGCCCTAGTGTAGTGTCGACTTTGTATGTAAGGTATAACATTTGTATTAACATTATTGAACATTTATACTCAAAATATACATAAAGTATTTGATATTTATATAACAAAAATATAGCAAAAGTTTGATGTTTTTCACACGAGGATAACTGTGTGTGTACTTGTATCCCCCCCCCCCCCTAAAACCATATAAAAGCATTTACAAAACATTTGAAAACGTAGTTATAGGGGTATTGAACTCACTTGATAGATTGAAGAAGGTGAGATGAAAACGAAGCAGAACTTTTACAGGAGAAAGCAGATTTCTCGAGATTCTCGGGAATCTCTGGAGTGTAAAACTTCCTTGGGGACTTGGGTATGAAAATTGGGACTTCGAGATATTCCTTGCACGCAAAACAGGGTAAAAACGCAAGAGAAGAAAGAAAATGAGCAACTATGCCTGGAACCCTCGCATCCCTTTTATAGGGGCTGGAAACCCTCGGTACGCGGGGCGTACCTACGGGTTACGCGGGGCGCACTAGACATAATGCATGATGCACTTCGGATGGGATGTCCGATGGGAGAGCATGTTGGCCGATGGGACGAGGCTCCTATCCTTTGGTATGCGGGGCGTAATGTGATTTTTCCAACATCTAAATTGCGTAACCTTTACGTATGAGCTTCGTTTTTTCGCGTTTTGTATATCCACGCGTAGGTGAGAATGTACTCTACGACTTTCATTTAGACTCCGTCGGCTAATTTTTTACTTTATTTTAAATATATCATTTTTAACAGGCCGGGACACGAAAAGTCCGTTAAAATCTGTAACTTCTTCATCTGATGTCCGTTTTCATCATACTTTTTACCGTTGTACTACTATTGTTGAGATCTTCAATTCTCATTTAGGTTGTTTTGGCTAGAAATCGTTCGATCTCTATTTCGAGTTTTTAGTTGTCTACCGCTATCCCGAAACTTCGAAAAATCATAACTTCCTCACATGAAGTCAGATTTGGGCGTTCTTTTTATTTATGTTTACGGTTTAATGATATATATGACTTTTATTTAGATACCTAAGGCTAATAAGTATTTTATTTTTGAACCAGCCTGGTTGAAGATATTTTTCTCTGGAACCGACTCGACTAAACTTTGTAGTGAACCATGTGATTTTCTATTCTAGACTCGTGTATGTGTATGTGTATGTGTATGTGTATGTGTAGGTGTATGTGGATGCATATTCATATGTACATATGTGTAGGCGTCTATGGCTATGTATGTATGTAAATGTATGTGTGAATGTATGTGTATGTGTATGTGTGTGTATGTATGTATTTATGTATATATGTATGTATGTATGTATGTATGTATGTATGTATGTATGTATGTATGTATGTATGTATTTATGTATGTATGTATGTATGTATGTATGTATGTATGTATGTATGTATGTGAATGCATGTGTATTTGTGTATCTGTATCTATGTATACATTTGTGTATGTGTATATGTATATGTATATAGAAATATTTGTGTATTGTGTATGTGTGAATGTGTATATATGAACATTTTGTATGTGTGTATGTATATGAATGTATGTGTATGTATGAATGTGTGTCTATGAGTGTATGTGTGGATGTATATGTACATACATACATTCACACACACTTCCAGACACACACACTTCCACACACATTCACACATACACATACATAAGGGGACTATGAGTGTATCTGTGAATGTATATGTACATACATACATTCACACACACTTCCACACACATTCACACATACACATACATATACATATACATATACATATACATATACATACACATATACATATACATATACATATACATATACATATACATATACATATACATATACATATACATATATATTCAAATACATATTCACATACATACACATTACCTGTATTGCTCCTGATTTTTATGATCTCCCTTTACCCGATTTGAACTCCACTACGGTTGTTGAAATCGATAATCGCTATCCCTACCACTGTTAGCGTAGGTGAGTGAGGAACCATAAGAAATCCTCATATTTGTGCGTGTTGTGATCAAACTAAATAGAAGATAAGAAGCAGGAATAGATAAGTAGTGACTATGGTTGCGGGATGAATGGTTAGCGGCGACCTGGTAACCGACGGTGGCCATATGCGGTGGAGGTGGTGGTTGGACGATCTTATTCACCTTCAAAGTAACTAGGATTGGATTGAGTCTTCTTGGTAAGGTGAAGATTTTGTTTTGTGTGTTCTGTTGAAATATACAACCCACGAGTGATTATGTTACGACACATTTTCCATTGGTAATGCGAGCTGTCGAAAATCTGTAGGCAATGTTAGTCAAAGTGGGCTCCGTTGGTAATCCGTAGCTATTAATTTCTATAGGTATACCATTGGTGAATTACCTATGCAAAAGTGTCGTCGGTTTTCGGTAGGTAATCCGTTGCAATTCCGTCGTTAACATTTACCCAAGAGTGATTATGTTACGGCACATTTTCCGTCACAATTCCGTAGGTAAAGCCGTATACCTGCGGATTGTGTTGTATGTATTAAGAGATTTTCTAGTAGTGTGTTAAATAGATCTCCTTGACAATCTCCAAATAAGACCAACATAATATAAGCTTGACTATACTTTTGTTATTATCAATATATTTTTAGTTTTATAAATAAAATCTATAGTAAATTACATAAATGGTAATGTGTTGGCAAAAGTTAAACGTTGATTTTTTGGAAAAAGTTTGTCCCCAAGTTTGGGCTTTGTTGTAGAAATGGTTTTGTCCTTGAATATTAAACAGCTTGTGAGACCCATGATGGGTTAATTTAAAAAAAATAATAATAAATATAAAAGTCAAAATACTTGAAAACTTTGAATTTATAAGAAAATAAGAAAAAATAATGAATTATTATAATATAAATATTTCTTATCTTTTAATTTTAAATAAATAAAAGAAATTTATGAGCTTTAATTTTAGGAATTTTGAAATTAAAAAATAAGTTCATTAATGAAATTGATATCTATTTATTAATACATTTATTACAATTATTACATTAAAATATTATGTGAAATTTAATAAAATAGAAAACTCATAAAATGACACGTGAAAAAAAAATTAATTTAAAATAACTAAAAAATGATATTTGACGAATTAAATGAGAGTGTAACAAGTGGCAAAAAAATTTTCATATATTAGACAGGATTTTAAGCAAATATTATTGAATTTCGACCATGTTTGATCCCCACCTCTATCAAAATTTCTCGCTCCACCACTCAAGGCGTGGCTTCTATAATAGCTTTGCATCCATAAGTAATATTAGTCAATTTTCTTTTTGATCCATCTATCAAGATCCAGTACTATGGTTTAGCCAAAATACAAATTATTTTCCTCTTTGCACTCTTCTATTACAAATTAGGAACAAAAATGCAAAGCTGATACAATTTTTGGTGAATGTCGGTAGGCTGAGGTGGCCATATAACACATGATCTTCCAAATGAGTGACAAGAGTTAATCAATCTCCTTGTTTAATCCTGGCTACCTTCTTGTCCAAAAGGGACGAAGTTTTGCATATAGGACAGCTGGTTATATATTTTCTCAACCTTGCGGAGTAGCAATCCACATGTATAGTATGTCCACAATACATCGATGTAATAATCTTACTCGATTCAAAGAGATACTCATGGCATCCCGGGCATTCAATTTTTGTTGCGTTCTCCACACAAGTGTGGGAACCACACATCTCCTTTGCGTAGCAACATCCACACTTGTCGCAATGATAGTAGTTTTCACGACCATAGAGTCTACATATCCCACAACCATTACAATGAAATTGCTGTTTTGAAGTATCATCATCAAACAGCTTGCAAATTCCACAAAAATATTCCCCCATTTTCACTCCACAATTACCAGAAATCTGATCAACTGGCTGTTCCGTATTGCAAATTATACAAACAATTTGCAGAACATCTCCCCGGACAATGTTGTGCCTTTCCGTGGGGTCGTTTAACGCACTGGTATAATTGTCGTGGCAGCGGTGGCACCAAAATACCTTGTTGCAGCAAGGAGCACAGAGTTTGCATCGCCTACGGTAATGCTCGCACCCGTGTTTCAGTTTCCTGAAATCCAAGCATGCTGCTTGCTGTACATTAAATAAAAATAACAAGTCAATGCATTTTTATAATCTCTAGCATCATCCATGTTGTAACTAGGCAGAGCTCTCTTCCAATATAACAAACTGTAAAACAAGTAAAAGTAATCAGTAGTAAATGTCAACTCTTGAGTTAGCATATTCAATTGCCTGAGGGGCTGTTTGGGACTAACACAAATATAAAATCTTGGTTTTCCAAATCTCATCTAATAAGATTTTGGAGCTCTTGATATCACTATTTATGATTCTACATTGTGTAGCCATCAGAATATGAAGGTAATTTAATCCATGAGCAGCTCCGGCGTTAGATCCAGGTGACATAGTGCTATTTATTGTGGTAAGGTTGAAAATCATTTTGTTACATCATTGTTGGTGGCCTAATGTGTGAAATTTATGTTTTGCAAGATTATTTGGATTTAATCATGTCAAATTCCTCAAATTAAGATGTAATATGATACTTTTCATAAATTACAGTTTACAACGCAATATGAATATATAAAATGTAAGGCAGAAGTTTATAGATAGCTAATTACCATTCCGTCCCCATTAGCGGAGATTCCTTGAGAGAGAAACATCTTTAGTTCCTCTTCATAGTCCATTGTTTGTTTCAACTCTTCAAACTTATCCTGAGAGCGACGTGCAGTCTCAAGCTGGTCCAAAACATGTAGCATCTTTGGCCGTCCTTCACGAGATTTTTGCAAACATTGATAGGCAATGTCTGAAAATATTTCCAAAGAAACTGGATCCATGTGTTGTTTCAGATCTTCAAAAATAATGGCATCTACATTCTTTTGTTTGTAGCTCTTTTTCCACATTCCCACTAAACTCTCAAAATGACCATTGTTATTCACAAAGCATAGTTTCCCACACAACACTTCAAATAAGACCACACCAAAAGAATACACATCGGACTCTTTTGTTAAGATGCTCTTCTCCGCATACATCGGATCTATGTACCCAAAGGTACCTACAACATTGGTGGCAAGAAAGCTGTGTTGCTGATTAGCGGGTCCTATTTTCGATAATCCCATGTCAGAAATTTTAGCATTCCAATTCTCATCAATTAAAATATTGGAACTTTTAATATCCCGGTGGATAACTCTTTGTTGTGTCCCCTTGGGATCATGAAGATAGCACAGTCCCGTTGCAGCCTCGACACATATATTGAGACGTTGCCTCCAAGTGAGAGTACTGCTACTCAGATGGCGATCGAGGCTTCCACGTGATGCATACTCGTACACAAGGATCTTCTCACCATCCTCATCACAAAATCCCATGAGAGTGATGAGGTTTTTATGTGTGTAATGGGAAAGCATGAGGATCTCTTTCCAGAACTCAGGGTCTCCTTGCCCAAAGTTACGATCTTGACGTTTAAAGGCAACTGTGTTTTGTTCCTTAAAGTGAGAGAGTACTCCTTTGTACACCATCCCAAATCCACCTTTTCCGATAATGTTGCTCATATCAAAATTGTATGTGGCTGAGTTTATATCTTCCAGTTGGATTTTAAGATGCTGAAATTCCTCCATGAAGGCTTCCATTATTTGATGATAGCAGATTTATAGTGCCTTGTGGAATAACCTGTTGCAGAAAAAAAAATGGTGACAGGTGAGAGATTCCTACCATCTACTTTTGTTCTCTGTCTTTCATTTATAAATAACACTGAAACTATATTTCTATTCACATGACACTCCCTTTATTTACATATTAATTTCTATTTGGACTTTATTTTTTGCAATTTTTGTTTTAAGACGTTATCATTTGAATATATTAAATTAATTTTTTTAAAGTATATAACACCTCAATAGCAAACTGCGATATTATATTTAATAAAGATATTAGATATTCATTTGTGTATGTAAATTTTCTACAATATTAATTTTAGAACTAAGCGATTTAACCTCATATGAAACTCATGATATATTAGTAAATGTAAATTAAAAATTGACATAAAACCTAGAAACTGATGACTTGAATTGAACATAATGTGAACTTTCTAAACGTCGTTGGAAAACCTATATATTAAGTACGAAGTTAAAGTTAGCAAGTTTAAATAATAAATTGGCTAATTGAACACGGATGGAACTTTCTAAACCCGTTTGACTGAAGTTATGAATTGTATATCTACCTTCAACACAAATGGGATGATTGAACACGGATCACGGATGGAACCATAAAGTTCATAGAAGGAATTTTCTGGAGGGAAGTGTTTGAAATCAAGGTCATTTAAAGATCACAATGACAATGCTATGAACCGAATGGACATTTAATAAAATTCTTTTCGATTTGCATTTAACATATAATCAAGGTCAAACAATGTTATATGGAAGTATTTGGAATGGCATTTAACATATGATATAGTCTTGACCTTGGAGACCATTTTAGCAGCAACAGCACATTCTTATAAAATAAAGCAAGTAACAACGACTTAAATACCGAAAGTATTTAAAATAATGTTGATAAATAACAAATTTGACATCCCTATAGGAAAATAGGGCAATTTCATGGGAACTACTAGAGTATCTAACCCAAAAAAAAAAAAAAAGATAAAACACAGGGCAAATTCAGGGAGCAGCTACAGTATCTAACAATTGTAACAACGAGGAAAAGGGAGAAACCTATCCTTTTGATGTTTCAAAATGGTCGAACCTTTGAAGATCGATAAGAGTGATGGTAATGGGTGCAACGAGATCAATCGGCCAGAGCGTGATGGATATGAATCGGCGAGAGACAGGTTTCTCGATGTCCAGAAGAACGACCACGTATCAACGAAGATGTGGTGAACCGGTGGTCAACGGGAGCTTTCCGTAAAGGGGACTAGGAGGGGTGGTGACAAGATGGGTTTTACAGGTGGAAGAAAAGGGGAGGCGAGCCTGAGGTGTCTGGGCAAGGGAACACTCAGCGGGATCTTAAATTTAACCCTAATTCTACTCTCATGTTGCGTTTGATTGTGCAGTGGAAGGATGATGGTGATGGAGCCTGGAGGACGAAGGAAGAAAAAAGTTTGTACTTTGTAGTGGAGAAGCTGACCCTTGGCGATGAGCAACGTTTGGCTGTGGCGAACGAAGAGACGGAGGGAAATGAAGGCATGAACCACCGTAGTAATGTTTTTAGTGATGAATGTCAACGCTTTACTCAAACAAAACAAAAAGGTTCCTTTTTTCATTTTTAAACTCAATAGCTTTTTCAACTTCTTTTATATATATATATATATATATATATATATATATATATATATATATATATATATATATATATATATATATATATATATATATATATATATATATATGAGAAAAGTGAATATACCCTTAAGGGTATATAAGCTTAGGTACCCAAACTCATAATAATACGTCGTTTTGTTTGATATATTAATTACAATATTGTTAAACTTCAATCCTTAATTTTTAAATTTTCACTATTATCTTCCTCTTACATCACATTTTTTTGTTGAACACTTACTAGGCTATATATATTATTGTTGAAAATGACAATTATGTAAGAGAAGATAAATATGAAATCTATAAACATTTTTGAAGTAATTCAACTTAAAAGTTAAATTATAAGAACATTGGACAATTACAATGTCTATATATGATACAAAACGATATAGTATGGTGAGTTTGGGTACCTAAGCTTATATACCCTTAAGGGTATATTCACTTTTCCATATACATATATGTATATATATATATATATATATATATATATATATATATATATATATATATATATATATATATCGGAAAAATGAATATATCCTTAAAAGTATATAAGATCAGGTATCCAAACTCACAATACTACGTCGTTTTGTATTATATAATACATTATAATCGTTCAATGTTCTTATAATTTAATTTCTAACTTGATTAATTCCATAATTTTTATAAACTACACATTTAGCTTCCTCTTACGTAATTTTTATTTTCAACTACAATATATATAGTCTACTAGGTGTTCTGCAGAAGAACGTGATATAAGAGAAAAATAATAGTGAAATTTCAAAAATCTTAAAAGTAAATCAAGTTAGGGTTTGAAGTTTAAGAACATTTTAATGATTATATCAAACAAAACGACGTATTATGGTATGTTTGGTTACCTAAGCTAATATACCCTTAAGGGTATATTCATTTTTCCATATATATATATATATATATATATATATATATATATATATATATATATATATATATATATATATATATATATATAGAGAGAGAGAGAGAGAGAGAGAAAGAGAGAGAGAGAGAAAGGTAGGTTCATATGTGGATGAACAATTATTGTGTGGATGTAGGGATTAGTGTGGATCAATCATTTTACAATATTAATTTTGGTAAATAAATAATTAAATCCTTAATCCCTTTTATTTAGGTAATTAATTTAACGATTCATTGGTATGGAATCAGTTATCTCCAATGACTCAGCTTTCACTTAGATTTATTCTTTTGGCTTGTGTGCAACAACAAGAAGCGAAGACGATAATGAAGAAGTTATCTAATACGATCTCGGAATTGGCTTCAAGTATCCTGCCTGATAACGGTTGGCCAGAACTGTTGTCGTGTATGTTTCAGTGCATTTTTTTCGATTCTCCCAAACTTTAAGAATATGCATTCTTGGTATTTGCATAGTTGTCACAATACATTGGGGAGACTTTAATTCCACACATAAAGCATCTTCGTGGCGTCTTTTTGCAGTGCCTAACTAAATCGGTGAGCTCAGACGTGAGGATTGCTGCTTTGAGTCTTGTAATTAGTTTTATTCGGTGTTTGTCGAATTCCGGTGATAGGAATCGGTTCCAGGATTTGCTTCCAGCGATGATGATGACTTTGATTAAAGATTTAAATGGTGGACAAGAGGCTACTGCTCAAGAGGCATTGGAATTGTTGATTACGTTGGCAGGGACTGAGCCTAGGTTCTTGAGGAGGCAGTTAGTGGAGGTGGTGGGGTCTATGTTGCAGATAGCTGAAGCAAATACTCTAGAAGAGGGCACAAGACACCTAGCCATTGAGTTTATGATCACGCTATCAGACGCTAAAGAAACGGCACCTAGTGTGATGAGGAAGTTGTCACGGTTTATCAGCAGGTTGATTAGCATTTTATTGCATGTGTTGTTGGATGCCGAGGATGAACCTTCTTGGCATACTGCTGAAAATGAGGACGAAGATGCAGGAGAGTCAAGTAATTACAGTGTTAGGCAAGAGTGCTTGGATCGGTTGGTTATTTCTCTAGGTGGTAATACCATTGTGTTGGATTAGGTGTTTAAGTTCATAACTATTTCTAGAATGTACTTGACTCGGTTGGCATGGTCCATTTGGGTTGCATGGCATTGCAACACTTAGATAGAGTAAATGAAAGATATGACACTTAAGGTTTATTAATATAATATAAGTTCTAATATATTAATAATATTATTTAATTAGTATTGATCAAGAATTAATTTGGAATTGATTAAGTGATTAAAAGGAGTCTAATTAAATATATGGGGTTGATTGTGTAAATCATCCATTCTTTTATAGTGGGCTAATGATCAATGGTTTATTGAATTGGGATAAAACCCATAAGGTGTTCCATGGATAGTCCATGGAGGTTATAAACCCATGGATCATGGAATATGAAAAGCCATGTCAATTAGGGTTTACATGTTGTAACCCTACTTGTGACAAAAATATAAAAGGATCTCATGGGCTATCAAAATCGACACTATGTGTTGAACAAGAGGGTTGGCCGATTTTGAGTGATAGTGAACTTCTCTCAAGGTTATTCCAATAGTTGTGGTGTTATGTGAGACATTTGAGGCATCACAGTTGAGGTGCTAGGCTCACAAGGTTCTTAAGGAATCCAAGCAACAAAAAGGTATGTTCTTTTACTAGCATTTATGTTTCAAAGTTCCCCATGCCATGGTAGTAAGGTTAAGAACCTTGGAAAATCAAATTTGCATGTATCCTAGTAAAAAGTAGATCCAAGGTTTCTATGGTTACATGTACACCTTAGGAGTGTTAGAATGCGATAAACCCTTCAGTGGTATCAGAGACTAGGCTTGTTTTCTTGATACTTGATGCAAACTTGTTGAAAAAACTCAAAAAATTGCAATCTACTAAGTGAATTCGTCGAGTCCATGGTGGGACTCGACAAGTCCATGTGTTAATTCATCCTACTCGTCGAGTAGGTTCTTGCACTCGACAAGTATGAGGCCCTGAATGCAGGTTTTCGAGTTTTGCTACTTGAAATGGACTAGAAACATTACCCTAAACTGTTTTGGTGTTATAAAACTTGTTTTAGATGGTGTAATGGTTATGCTAATCTATTTACAATGGCTATTATCAAAATTTCAAGTTATGTATGGTTTATTTATGATTCTTGAAATTGTGAATATAGACGTTCATACACTTATGAGTTTAGAAGATCATAGGAATTATTTTCAAATAGTTTGTTAGTTTAATTCTTGATCTTGATGTATTTTAATGGAATCCATAATTTGTCATTGATATGGGCATATTTAGTTATAAAATTCATGCATTATCTTAATACTTTATGTTGTTTTTGTCTCTTTTAATGAACAAAAGGTGCTTAATTAGTTTATAATTTCATTTTTCATCAAAAATGACATGCTCGAAAGGAAAGTGAAGCGGAATTGGTGATTGGACGCTTGGATCTTGGATTTTGAAGAAAGAAGGATGTTGCTGGACAGCTTGACCCCTCGTCAGTGTATTGGCCATACCTAATGAACCGTAACTCCGATTGACGAGATTCAAAATGTTCTGAAAACTAGACACAATTTCAGACGACTTTCGTTTTTTGAGAAAATGCTGATTCCAAACGTACTCGGCGAGTAATCCATCAACTCGCCGATTTGGTCAGAAGTTTCGCGATTCTGGACGCGCTGATTTGCCGTACACGGGTTTTAAGTGACGGACTCGCCGAGTAGCCTCTGTTTTGTGAAAATCTATATAAAGGGACTTTCATATCGATATCATAGCATGGAGAGAAACCCTAGGAGGCTGAGAAACGATTGGAAGTGCTGCTAGGTCGTGAGGAACTGAAGAATCAACCCTTCATTCAATTGTGAAGAGAATCAAGACAATTTTGGTTTATTCTTAGTAACTTTTTTATTTGAATCATGTTTACATCCTTTGATTTCATTTTTGAGTTTATGTTTACTGCAATCATGAGCTAAAAACTCATAACTTCTGTTTAGGTAGATGAATTTGTGAACATGGATTGATTATTTGATTAGGATTAATTTTAATTGGTGATTATGTTTTATTAAGCTTGTTAAAGAACCTTATGTGTTAACAATAACTATTCTTCTATTAATAAATCAGTAATTAAGTTGTATGAACATCTCTTAGTTATTAATTTCATATGATTTATTGTGACCACATAGTTGTATGTCTAGGAATAAGGAATGTGAAACTAGAATTAACTAGAAGATTGGTAAGTTAATGTGTAAGCTTGTTGGATGAACATCGATAAGAGGTTAATTGAAGGACCAATTTAGTTAACCACTACAAGTCTTACTTAACCCGAATCAATAATCTAGGAAACCCGTTAATTTAGACAACTGACCATTGCTTGAGTTAATTTGTTTTCTAAGAATTAGGAATAGCGAACATGAACCTAATTATCTTAATCGGTAGTCAATGAAGAATTAATCCGATACATTAAAATCATCCATGGGAACAAATGAGTCGAACGTAAACAGAAGTCCTCTTTATTATTGAATTTAGTTGATTTTTATTTGCTTAGCTCTTAGTTTCTTAGTTTAAGTTTTAGTTAATTGTTTAAGTTTCTAGTCTTGCAAAACTAGAGAAAACCCGCTTTCTATTACTTGTTTTATTTAGATAATATTAGCATCTATTTTAATTGTTTACCGTTCCCTGTGTTCGATACCCTACTTACCTGAACTAAACTACTAATCGATAGGTACACTGCCTTTCGTGTGTTTTTCTTTGTATTTAAGTTAGTAGGATTAAAACTAGTTGGTTTTACACACATCAAGTTTTTGGCGCCGTTGCCGGGGAACGGTTCTAAATAGTTAATTTTATTTGCTAATTGTTATCATTTTTTTATTTTATTTGTTGATTAATTTTTTTTATTTAGTTTAATTTTTTATTTTTATTTTTATTTATTATGTATTTTCCAAATCTCGATGCTTTTGATGCTTTTCTTGAGGAAGTAGTACAGGAAATTGAGCAAGGAGATGAAGAGTATGACTCAGATGAAGATTTGAAGAAATTTGGAAGATGGTTAGATAACATCTTGCCCAACATAGAAGGGACATCTGAGTTACAAGATGAAGAATTTAATCCAGAAAGAGACTTGGAAGAGCTGGAAAGATTGCTAGCAGAAGGGTTAGATGAAGAACAAGAACAAGTTGAATTGCAGGAACCAAGCTGTGGTTTGACTATTACCACGACATGGCCCCCTATATTTCCGGTTTGTGTTTCGAAGCATGGGGTGACAATTCCAACTTTGGAGAAAGTTCTAAATCACGATCCATTTATGATTAGTATCCAACCGGTTCCAACCCTTGTCAATATTCTTGGATTTTATGAATTCAAGCTCGTTTGGCCAATTTTAGAAGTAAAGAGCCAAATTTTACAAATTGGTCCACCAAAGAAAATATTTAATGCAAAGGATGGATTGACATTGAATTTATTGGAAGTTTATTAAGTTGGGAGTCCAGCTAAAGACTCGCACAAAAAGAAGCGCTTGCGGGAGGTAACCCGTCATTAGAGTTTGCTTTTTTTTTCTTTAAACTTCTAGTTTATTAGGGTAATTTAGGATTTTAATTTTGATGTTTGTTTTCATTTTTCTATTACTTGTGTGTTGTTTTGATCTTTTCAGTTTGAAGCTTAGGATTGCATGTAAAGGTCTAGAGTCAAGGCTGATGAAGCGAGAAATCGAGTCTAGGCGAGAGAGGAAACGGAGTTTTGAGTCAAGCTATGAGTCCAATTGATAGAAGGGTTATAGAGTGTTTATTACCTAAAGAAAAATGAGGGAAATTATTAGTTTATATAACCCCCATACATCAGAAACAGACTTGGGCAGAATAAAAGTTTTGTCACACAGTGGTCTACTCGCCGAGTGCATCCTATGGACTCGCAGAGTCCATGTGAAAATTCACGATTCTTCTTCCATTTACGCTTCAACTCGGCGAGTATACATACTTACTCGACGAGTCACTCATTCTTCTTACTTTTGAGCTGAAGATTTGATGACATTCGATATGGGCATTGGTTCTATTCTTTGAAGATCATTTTCCGAGCATTTCCAAGAGTTTGTCCCTTATAATTGGAGCTGTACCACACGAGATTTTAACACCCAAGGCATGGATGAGCTGTTCCCATGCCAAAGTCATCTGAAGATGGAGCTCAAAAGAAAAAGATCAGCCTCGCGACTGCTACCCCAGGGGAGTTTGTTCCAATTCTCTCTATATTTCATATTTCATATTTTATGCATTACATGCAATGGGGACATTGCATAAATTAAGTGTGGGGTAGGGGGTTGGTTATTTTAGTTAAAATTTTAGTTAATTTTTGATAAATTTTGAAATTTTTGCATTAAAATTGCTAGGGCTAATTTAGAAAGTTTTGGTAAAACAATTAGGGATCATGCTAGTATTATATTTGATGATTGCATGAAAACCCAAATGTTTAGTTTAGCCTATATACGTTCTAGTGCATTTGTGACTTCCTTATTCTCGTGAAATCATGGGACAAAAACACGACCTAGCTTAGTTTGAAGGATGCAATATGTTTAGCATCATGTACCAGAAATGTATCCAGGAAAATTTTATCTTTAACCAATAAAGGTTGAAGTTGAGCGCCCCTGCTTAAGCATGTAGGGTTTTGAGTGGAAAAAGTGAGTTACATGTTAAAAAAAAAGAGAGAGAGAGAGAATTACAAGAAAAGTTTGAAGAATTTTTGGAGCATCAAAGTTAAGTATAAAATTAGAAGATCTAAAATTCCTAAGATTCAAAAAGTTGAAGATACCAAAAATCAAACAACAAGGTGGTGAATTCAAAGAAATTAAAGATCAAATGTCAAAGAAGTGAAGAATTACAAAGAGCTCCAATGTGGTATCATAAATTGTAATTGTATAGATTATGTATGATTGGGTTGCTCAACCAAAAATAACTTGAGGTTAAGAGGTTTTCTGAGGATGGATTCGGAGGGATGCATAAACTGAGCATTGTTCGGAAAAAGTGGGCGAATGTTTATGAGGATTGTGAGTATTTGGAGTATGGGAGGTT